ATATCCTGCCACTTTGGTCCACCTCATTTGCATGTGCCGGGAGGCTTTGAAGATCGAGGCATAACACAATAAACGTTATTCTAACTCAATGACATGTAAATGGTAATCTGAAGCTTAGCCACTAGATTCTTTCGCTTCTCTTGATTTCTGTCGAGAAGCGCTCTTTACATTAAATAACCCAGAGCCTAAGCTTCCATCCTTCATGTTTACGTCTAGAAATATCTTCAACATATACGTAATCAGTCGCAAAATCTTTCCCAGTTCTTCGCTTAATAAATAACTGAAGTCGAAGTTGGTTTTGCGGTTTCACACCTCACTTGCGAAATCGGTTGAAACACAAAAAATAAAACAATAGATGTTTGACATCTGACTGATTCGAGCTATGCTGCAATCTCTGATCATCGAAGTTCCTATTTTATTTCCAGCTTTGTGATCCGGCTGAAGCTATAGATTAATTTTTTAATTTTCCTTCGTTAGTAAAACACGAAAATTATTGCATTTAGGGGATCTTCGGCGCTCGACCTGAGCTGTTTTTTTTTTTTTTCCTCGTCTCCGGAAATACCGAAAATGCTATCGTACCAACCACGTGATCACAAAATTCCGCGGAAAAAAATAAATCAGCCAATCATTGTCGAATGAACTCACGTGTACAACCCAGAAGATTTCACGCTCTTGCGATTTCACACAAATTTTCGATTTGTCATCAGTAGATGCACTTTATGTCTGAGAAAGCAGCCAAGCTTAGTTCGTGGCACTTTTAAAAGGTCTTTGATCTGAAAAAAATTCACAGAAACGTTTCAATCAGTATATTAAGTTTTTTAAATCGCGGGAAATTGTCTTCATAGTTGAAATCGTCGAAATCAACATGGCAGACGATTGGGAAGATGGCAGCTCCACAACAGTAAGTAGGACGATGTGTCTCTTTACATCTTTCTGGATACTGGAATGTGATGTGATATGTTTTCTTGTGTAGACTTCATTTGGTGGTGGATTTGGGGCAAGCAAAGGACGAGGCTTTGGTACCTGGAGTAGTAATGACAATTCGGTCGATGAAGCTCCCAGACGAAAGGGCTTCGGAAGAGGAGGTTTTGGCTCTGCAAATACAGACAGTACATTGACAAATGGCTTCGAAAGCGGCAATCAGGGTGCTTTTGGTGGAGGTAGAGGCTTTGGCCGTGGTGGCGGTGGCAGTGACAGTGAGAAGCCAGCAGCACGTGGTTTTGGCAGTAGTGGAGGGGGATTTGGTAACAGAGCCGGTGGATTTGGCCGCAGTGGTGGTGGCTTTAATGATGGAACTTATGATGAACCTCGAGAAAACGGAGGAGGCTTTGGTTCAAAGAAGCGTGGTGGCTTTGGTGGCAGTGGTTTTGGAGGAGGAGGACGAGGAGGAGGAGGGGGTGGATTTTCAGGAGGTGATGATGGAGAAGATGGTGGTGGCAGAGGAGGTGGATTTGGTAGCAGTAGTGGTAACAGGAAGGGAGGTGGTGGATGGCACACTGGCGGGGAAGAAGGGCACAGCAGGAAAAGTGGATCTGATCGGGCATGTCATAGTTGCGGAGACGAGGGACATTTTGCCAGGGAGTGCCCAAGCAGGGAAAGTGGTGGTGGAGGTGGAAGAGGGTGTCATAGTTGTGGTGAAGAAGGGCATTTTGTTCGAGAGTGTCCAAATAAAGAGCAAGAGGAAAGTGAGTACATTTTTAAACGGCTAAAAATCAAAGAAAAGCTCAGGACTCTGTACGCCAAAAGCATGATTTTCTTGCCAAGTTTGCTGTTGTATCAATTTAACACTTTAACTCCCAGATCAAATTTGTCTTTCTCCTTATTGTCAACCATACAATTCTCATAATGTTAGGTCAGAGAATTTAGTATTGGATCAACTAATTATCCCCAAATTGACATTTTTCTTTATTCTCATCCCCTATCTGGTTGATATTGTATTGATATTAAAAAGAGAATTTCTGTCTCTGTCACTTATAGGAGTGAAAGGGTTAAGTGATCACATAGTCACTCATGAAAAAGCCTAATGTCCAAATAGTAGATGAAATCAGAAGTAGT